TGTGTGTGTGTGTGTGTGTGTGTGTGTGTGTGTGTGTGTGTGTGTGTCACAGTCAGACCAAAGGCAGAGTGAATAGGATGGGCACAAAGAAAGTAAAAAGGGAACAAAAACCAGTGACTCAGGACTTAAATCCGCCTCTGTCACAAATGTTCAGAAGAATTTGGGCTCGTCTTCTGAATCCTACTGTGCAATATATTTCTGAGGCACATCACTTAAAAGGCTCTGCTATCAGAGCAGACCAACAGAGAGGCTTATCTCTCAATCTTTACGTAGCCGCCCCGGTGACCACAGTCTGAGTTAATACATAACCAGTGTGTGACTACAGGAGGCAGCTCTACAAGGGCAGCAAAACAAATCACAACAAAAGTCAGCTCATGCTGCAGCAAATGGGAATTGCTTTCCCATTCTTTCTCTCCCTTGAGCAACTTTGTTGACGTGCATAAAACAGCACAAGGGTTGTGAGGCCTCCTGTGATCTCGGGAGCCTTTGAAGACCTGAACACAGATGGTGAGACCGTTGAGAGGAACCTCCATCATTTCTGACGGGACTCAACACCCTTTATTATTAACATCAGTCTGCATCAAGACAAACACAGCCATGTGTCACCAGTCACTCCTTCCTGCTTCTTTCAATGGAAGTGTGACAGTCACCATGGACCGAAACCAGCATCTCTCCACAGACCAACGACTGTGTTCCACAAGTAACACCACTCCAGGTGCAGGTTCATTCAAAGGCAGACGTCCCAAATGAAAACGCTCTTGATCTAGTTATATCTGGAATTAATCCATATACACATTACATATCTATGGGTCCCATTTTTAAAGTTTATAGTGACACCTCTGGTGTAACCACACTATTATTGACGTTATGGTATTGCTATGGGGGTTCAGATATGTAGAGATATACTCTTAGTTCTCATGCTGCAGATTAACGTGTTATTTAGTTGCCACCGCAAACTTACGGATTTTGGTTTTCTTGGGATCCAACTTGCGGACTTCAACTTGCAGCTTCTGCAGCCGCCCCTGAATCCTGCAGGATCTTCTGAACACCATCCCCGCCTGCATCTCGATGCCCAGAAAGATGTCGCCGGCATGTCGAGAAAGGTCGGAAAGTTGGTGTATTATGTTGGTCAACGTGTGACAGCCGACCTCGTCCAGAGACGAGAACAACACGGGCTTCCGCAGTTTGCGTCTCCCGGTTTCTTCCCTCGGTATCAAGCCATCCCTCGCCGATAACCTACCAACACGCCGCGGCTCGATGGTCCTCTGGTGAAAGGGCATGTTTATTTCATACCAATAACTCCTGCAGGACGGAAAACTGTTCACGCAAAAAGACCTTTAAAAAAAAACAAAAAATCCAAGACCATCACCGTCCTTTGGCTGCTGCTGTTAGCGAGGCAGTAGAATCCTTCAATCCCGCCATATTCTCCTTTTTCAAAGCATGAGACTTTGTGCTGCTGTACGCTGGAGACGTTGCCTCCCAAAGTATATTCAAATTGAACCAGACAGAGTGCAGGCTGGAGCTAAAAGAGGAGAAAAAAAAAAACAGAAGGAAAAGTAAGGGAGAGAACTAATAAAAAGCCCGGAAACCACTACAACCACCTGTAGCAAGTGGAACCGGAGCCTGATCTACAGGAGACTACCTGCCTCCCAACGAAGTCTGTTCAGCGGTCTGATGGAAAACATGGACCGGACTCTTTCCTCCAAAATGAACCGGAGTGACTGAGGCTTCTAACAAGCTGAGAAGTTAAGAGTTTCAGGCTAAAGTCACCGTTTAGTTCACGTTCTATGAACCATATTGTCTAATAATCATTCGGGATTAATTGCATTTTTAACAGATAATAATTTAAGTACATGGACCATTTATATGGACTTTGTCTCTCCATAATAAAGCTAATAATTTCACAGAAACTAACGTTAAATACTGACTGAACCAATACAACTTTCCAATATTTTTTAAGCTATCTATCTTTTGGAGTATCTAAAAAATAATACGATAGTGTTTGTGTGTATTTTCTTATGAAGCAGTATGGGAATACAGACAACTTTCTTGTAGGACAATAAATTAACCCTGTAACGTTACCTCAGATGGATTAAAAAGGGAAATAAACATTGTTACCTGTTCTTGTACTGATGTGATTCCGTAGTTTGAGGTATTTATTGTGACACCTGGTGTCTTCATGTGAACACTGCAAATTCAGAGGTGCCTCGTGAGATACATTAACTATCAATGTTTTCTCTTTACTCAACCTACTGGAAATCTTTACATTCCTCTCCTGCTGGCCTGCACGCTGCTGCAACAGTTCAACAATGAATCAATATTTGAGATTGTAAAAATGTTGAACCAGTTGTCTTGAACATCGTGACATCCAATGTGCATCATGGAAAACATGTGAAGGCGAGGTGGATGGAACCGTTATCCTGTTACACGTTGAGTAACGTCGGCATTTCTTCTTAACTCAGCACAAAATGTGTCCGACAGGAGGATGACACATTCTCCACCAGAGGAAAAACAGGAACTAGATAATAGGGTTCTGTTGTTCCAAGGACATCGGTGCTCTCACACTGCCTCCTTCTTCCACTTAGCTCGTTAAATACAATGAAAGTAACATTTATCCTTCATGAATGTTGTTTTTCTGCTGTAACATGTCAAAATACAAGCCTGGAGCAACATTAGTAATTGTTTTGTATCCGTTTTAGGCAGTGAATGAATGGAAGGATTAAAATCATACAAAATTAAAATTAAAATAAAAGCAAACAAACTCACCAATTCTAGAGATGAACATAAGTTTAATCAAGATTAAATATATGCCCCAAAAAAAACTCATAAGAGATCGAAACAAGTCAAAACAATACAAAAAGATGAGCTTTTCCGTCTGTCGTGTCAATAGAGTCGTACAGCTTCATCCTTCCTCCTCGTTCTGGACTTTCATTCGGGGTAAATTGTACACGTATATCTCATTCACCATATTTTACAGTGCATTGATTCTCAAAACCATAGCCTTCTTCCACATCTAAAAACCCAAACATAAACTCCTTTATAGAACTATTTACATACAAGGCTCCAACAAGTCAAATCAAACCTTTTGGTGAGCAATAACAAACTAAGACAACATCGCCCATCAGAACATATGGGAACTTTCTGAAACTTCATGGCTTAAGTTAAGCCACCGTGACATTTTGTTACACGAATCACTGAATGGATGGGAGTGGCCTCTAATTATTAAATAATATGATGAACTCTCACACTCGGCAGGGACATTGCAGGATTACTTGACTTGCAAGTTAAACCGCCTCCGTCTTTAAAGGTCGGTTGCAGACACACAACAATGTACAAACACAGCTCGATGACGCCTACTGAACACATCTCACACACACACTGCTCATGGTATACCTGTGTGGTAGGTACACAGAGCATACATGAATCATGTGAAACTGAACAGAATTAATCTAAAGTATGCAAATTAACTTAGAAAAGTTGAAAACAAGTGATTTTAGTAAGTAACCATGTCCCCACAAACACAAAAAGAAGTCTACATCATCTCCGTTTATTCACGACTCCTTTTTTTTGAGATGACAATTTTGAGTTAATCCAAACCAGGAAGAATAAAACAGAGCAGCAACACTGGATTACTGCAGAGATGTAACAGTGTGCCTTGACCTCCAAAACATTTGTATTGTTCGGTGTAGTCGTGTGTCAGAACCGAGTACAGCATCTCCAAACACGCAGAATGATAAACACAAAACCCTCCTGGGAAATATTAATACAACATCTGTCAGAATACTAACCCCTTTATTCTGTCATGAAGAATTGATGAGCAAAGGACAGTTGATGTAATCAGTCATGTAGGAAACGGCCACACAGGAGGAGAAAGGGACAAATATTCATTGAGTAACTGGTTTTTAAACTGTTTATTCTGTATCGCGCTCTGAGACGCATGTAAAGCCAGATGGCCTACCGCTCCTTGTGCATGTTATTCGATACCCACTCCTTTAACACTTATGACTATTTGGAGTTCACTCCAAACCACGGAGTGACTTCTTACCCATCTTTCATACCTTTTGCCAGTAGACTCCATTAAATAAAAAGGTGAGAGATATTGTTTTGGTGCGAGAACAAGCCAAAAAGAGCCCCGCCTTCCCCTAAATATCCCCTCAGGTCTTAACCCATATATGGTGGCTAGGCAGGAGAACAACAGACTACTGTTGTCCAACAAAAAAAAAAAAGATGGTTAAGTTTGCGTATAATGGTGTTTTTAATGTGTGTGTGAGAGACTTGGCAAAGACCAGAAGCGCTCAGTGGAACAGAGGCATAGTGTTATGAAGAACATTTGCAATATAATCAGATTTTTCGACATCGTCTGTGTTCTTGTGGGATAAAAACCACCACCAGGACCACCAAGCGGGGAAACGTCGGCTCTCAGAAGAGTGCTGGACTCGCCGGGTTTTCCCGCTTAACGTGGTTTACGAAAGCATCACACGGGGCAGAAGCAGCCACGAGGCCACGCTGGACTGGGCTGGGCTGTGGTGACAGAAGAGGAGCCCGGGGAGAGAAGTGGTCAAAACAATACGAGAGAGAGAGAGAAGTCCTACAGCTTGGTCTTATGTGAGCGCAGCGAGGACAGGTGGTGAAAATACAACAGGAATAAACACACTCATATTCCAAGGGCTCGATATCAGACTGTAGCGTGGATGTGTCTTAGGACACGCATACACAAACAGTACATACATGTTAGTCCAATCTCCAAACTAGGGCTTCAGATGAGTCTCTTTGTCACCCTCTGGTGGTTTTGTCCAGAATAGACACTTTTTCCTTCAAACACACACACACACACACACATATATATATACGCATATATATACATACGCATATATATGCATATATATATACATACGCATATATATATACACACATATATATATATATATATATATATATGAACACACACACACTCCTTGGCTCCCCTGTGTCTGTATTCAGGCTTATCTGGTGTAGTAGACTCTGTAGTAAACACTCTTGGAGCGCCAGAGTGAGTAGGAGTTGTCAAACTTGAGCAGGTAGACTCCGCGGCCAGGGTACTGATGGCTGCCGGCGTACACCTCCTCATGACAGTCCCGCCGGTACACCGGCACAATCTCATCCACCTGGGGCTTCCCCGCCTCCTTCTTCGCCTTCTCCTCCTCGCTGGGAGGTTCACCTGAGGACGAGAGGACAACGTTGACAGTCGCAACAGAGAGCAGGAAGGCAACCTTACAGCTTCACAGGCAGCGTTATCATCATCATCATCCCTAATATTGTGACGTTATATTTGTGCCTCAGTCCTGAACACAGGATGGGACATTTTGAGCGACGAAAAAAAATTGCAGGCACAAATAAATTTGCTTTTGTATAATTTGAGGAAACTGAAATCTATTTTTGAGCTCAACAGAGTTTTTGCATAAAATAATAAAGTCCCACAGAGTACCTATGAGTGAGGCACAAATATAATGCATTATAATATGGCTAAACATTACACCCTCTGAAACCCCTTTAGGTATCAGATTCTCTTACTTATATGATGTGTTTTAAACTAAACTTGCTTTGTAGCAAAAAGATACATGAGGTTTTTGACAAAATGTGACACAATCTCTTGTATAAGTACTGTGTTGTGACACTAAACATAAATACACAACTGCTACTCCAGTAGACAGTCAGAAATGAAGTTTAGAAGGACTGGTTTAATCTGCCAAAGACTAATTTGTACACAATACTGCCATTCATCTCATCAACATTTAATTCCTTTCTTTTCACACTACTGCTCTGGCTTCCACCAAAGAACACCAGCAGGACTTCCTCCTCCAACGGGAGGGCTGTGAGATGTTTAACTATGGCGTAGGCGAGCTCTGAACCCGAGATAAGAATATAATATCGGAAAAACTAGTTAATCATATCTAGATTGGCTGATGAGTGAAGCAACAGAAATCACTAAGACAGACATTCCTATTCAAAGCAGCATCTGTAGTACGAGTATGTGGTGTATAGAATCCAATAGCAAACTGGCCTGAGCCTAATCATGACCCATCAATACCATTATATATCCAATAGTGAGTGAACAGCTAGCAAAGTTACATTTTCAATTCTTGGAAAAATTGTATGTTTTGCAGATTTCTTTTGTTTACATAATAATAATAATAATAATAATAAACACATTATGAAGGAGAGCCTTAACGACATCATTTTTGTTGTCGTTTTTCACAACCACCACCAGGCGCTGCAACGCCCAAGAAATATTTGCATTAGAAACACTGCCGACGTAGTCACACAAGACCTCCCACCCACACCTCACCTTCGTCCTCCTCATCCTCGTCGCTGGACTCCGACACGTGCACGCTGACCGCGGCGGACGCGGCGTCCGTCCATTCGAAGAAGACCCCGAAGCCGATGTCGTAATAGTCCGTGGCAAACTCCCAGAAAAGGTAAGAGCCCTCCTCATGGGTGGGCACTCGCACCGTCACCACCTCCCCGCGCCCCACTGTGATCACACTGTCTGCGTCCTGACGGATCTTCTCCTTGAAGTCCTTGATCTGTGGCCGCGTCCACATGGAGGGAGCTGCTATGACTGGTGGGGAGTCGGCTGTGATAAAAAGGGAGAAGAGACGTATTACGATCTAACACAATCTGCTAATGCAGTCTACCTTTATTGTGAGGGACCATGCACGATATTAAAGATATCATTTTCCACAGCACTAATTCCATCAATACAGCAACAGTCACGGCATCCTTAGCACTCTACTGCTTTGAATTTCTCTACTCTTACAATAATGGAGCCGACCATTATCTTCCACAGTGGATAATTTGGCTCAGGATGTATGTTTTGGAATCAGACCACGGCCGTGTTCCTTTCTGGTGGGACTGCTTTCTCTTCTGTAGGCAGAATGTGTGGTTGCATCATACCTAAGCCAGCATAATATCATGTATCACTTGTTCCGGCCCTTCTCCTCTCTGCCCTCCAGGTTACATCAACAAGGTACTAATCAGGTTTCAAGTTTCCTATAAAGCTTAGTTTGTTTGACAGAGAGCGCTCCCTCTCTGTGCTGTAGCCTTCAGCTACACAATGAGGAAAGAGAGATCTGTAGATCACTTCCGCATGAAGTCAACTCAAGATGGTTTAAGGGTTTTAAATGAGAAACGTCTGCAGCCCACCAACCTAATAAAGGCCCGTTCTCGGAGACCTCCTCTGCTGGCTCCGGCTCCGGCTCCCTGTCCATGCTCTCCGAGTACGAGTCCAACTGGCCTCCGTTGACTGTCGTGGTTTCCTCACTCGTAGTTGGTGAAGAGGCGCACAACTGTACTGCTGCTGAGGCGGGGATGGGTTCCCCACTGCTGAAGCCACTAGATTCAAGGGTGCCCTGCACCATCGAGTCCGCCTGCATCTGCTGCTTCTGTAAGGCCGCCTGGGACGAAAGCAAGACAAAACTGAGTCAATGCATTGAAATCCAAACTAGGGACATAAACCAAAAATGTTATGCGTCTACAAAGCTGTTGGCTCATGACTATTTTCAATTTACTTTGTGTCTTTGAAAGAAGATGTTGCCAACACCTAAGCTTCCCCATTAACCACAAACTATTAAAAAAAAAAGAAAATCAAGAAAACGTCGATCCCTCTGTTATTGATTACATACCTGTTGCTGGGCCAGCTGGACCTGGTAGAGCTGCTGCATGTACTGCTGGTAGTGCTGCTCCTGGAGCTGCCGGATGAGGCCCAGCTGTTGCTCCGGGCTGTTGGGGTATTGCTGGGCAGCATACTGCTGGAACTGCACTGCTGTCTGAGCATTCAACGCCGCCATGATCTGTTGTCTGGGAAATAGGAGACAGGGGTTGGTGAGGAAGGAAATGCAGGAAACTGAGAGGAGATAATGGCGGACAGCGGGAAATTGCAGGATTTTAACATAGTGAGTAAGAAATATCTTCTGTGGAACAGGTCTCAGGTGAGCACCGAGCCTGCTCCAGATAGAATATAGATATGAATGTCAGGGAAATGCGATGACCGTGTAGAAGTCATTTTGATGTACTGCAAGCGCATTGTACATACTTCTGCTGCTCAATCCGTAGCCTCTCCTCCTCTGCCTGTCTCCTTTCCTCGTCCTCTCTCCTCTGCCTTTCCTCCTCCTCAAGCCTCCGTCTCTCCTCCTCCTGCCTCTGTCGTTCTCTCTCCTCCTCCTCCAGCCGCTGGCGCTCTTCTTCTTCTTTCCTGGGGAAGAGCAACGTAACGGAGGATATTATAAACATATGACAAACTGAGGCAGAAAGTGTTTTCCTCGGGGGAACTGAAGTCAAAGTGCCTCACCGTTTCCTCTCCTGCTCCTCCCTTTCGATCTTGTGCGAGGTGACGTAGGGAGCAAAGAGGTTACAGCACTTGTTCAGCAGCTTGACAAACTCCACCATGGCGTCCTCCTTCTCCAGGTTACCCAAGGAGGCCCACTCTTTCCTGCACACACACACACAGGGAGACTTCTCTTTTAGATGTTATTGTTTTACAATAGCAAAACAAGAGTTTTTAAATAGGTAGCATTTGTAACAACCATTGTTTCTTAAGAACATAACATTTGAAATACTAAGTGTGTGTCCGTGAAACAAGCCATTTTACATCAAAGGGTTTCATACATTTTTTTTTAATCACATAAAAAGGAATTACAAGCACGGCACAAGTGTTTAATGGACTCTAAATTATTTATTTACCAGATTTCAAAGTTCATACCCTCTGGTGCGCACACACACACACACACACACACACACACACACACACGTGCTCGGGTTACCTGCGGTCGTTGCCCAGGACATCAAAGAAGCCGACCTCCGGTGAAGCGTCCAGATTATAAGGCCCCAGTAACACCTGTTTGTGCAGAGCCACCAGCCGAAGCTTCTCCTCATAGGTCGGGTGGAAGGCCTTTCCATCTTTATCTGAGAGCAGCAACGTGGAAGCAACGCATTTGCATTTATTGTATTACGTGCTTGTACATAGTACAACACACCTCTGTGTTTTAGTACAACACAGTAGCAACAGTAGAAACATAAAGGGTATCATATTCCTTTAACACTTAATAAAACCCTCATGGCAAGATGACTTCACATCACATTGAAACAGTCATCCGAGGCAGGCAAGGATCAGACTGTATACGAAACAAGTTACACAGGACCAACCCTAACTGACTAAAAATACATGACTAAAAAAACAAAAAGGACAGGTTACTATCACAGAGTGGCGACCAGTCCCAAACCTGTTTGCACAGTCATCACAAGTGCTTTGCTCCAAGAACAGAGAAAATGTCCAGCGTTAAAAAAATGGTTCAGGATGTGTTCTGTATGTTTATTGGATTTCCTGTTGGAGTGGCAGCATGGGAGTGGTCTATGAATATATGGATATGAGGCTGTAAAACAGGCCACTGGTCATACAGCCCTGTAAAGCCTGGTTTCAACCCCGTCGATCTGAGACTATGGACCCGTTATTATACCCACTCCTTCAGCACAATGGTAACCTGTCAGCGTCTAATTCATCAGAGAAGAGTCTGTGTAAGCAAATGGCGCACAGGCTCCTTTCAGCCTCTTCAATGGCACGGCAGGGCGTGTTAAAGCTCCCAAACAAATCACTATGAGCCACCACTCTGTTAGCTTCTTTTTTTTGGCTACATTAGTAATGGAGCAGTCACAGGTTATTCTCCCCAAAGTAGACAACACCACGCAAACAACCGGATGAAAATACCATCAAGCCACACATAGACACAAGTGGACCGAGTGCTTATTTCACCCTTTAACGACCAGCTAGCAGCCTGTTAGCACTAGTTAGCTATGTGGCTAATGTAACGTTGAGGCTGACAGTGACAGCTAACGTTACGAGCTAACGTTAGCTAACGGCTAACCTCGACCGATGTATCGGTTCGTAAGTTACCGTTAGGCTGCTTGTATACGTTGAAGCCGTGAGATTAGAATAAAAGACAAAATACCTTTGAAAAATTTAAGGCCCATTCCGTAGAGCTCCAGCAAAGGAAAGCCCCATTTCCTCTCTATGGCTGATTTTGCCGTCTCTCCATCTTCGCCTCCCGCGGCATCCGACGTGTCGTTGTCGGGTTCCGCAGGTCCCGGGTCCGGCTCCTCGACCCGGGTCTGCTCGCCCTCCGGGTCTGGACTGAGGGTGAGGCCATCGATGGAAACTTCGAGCCGGCTGGAATTAGCACTGTCGAGGTCGCCGCTCTGAACCTCTGTCGCCATCATGTAGACTGTCAGCTGAAGCGGCCACGTACCTACTTCCGTTTAAATTTGGCGGAAGTTCCGGGAGATTTTTTTTCTTCTTCTTCGATGTAAATAATGACGACGCTTTAGCCGATAAGAGACATATTTACAGATATATTTTTTATTTATTTTACATATGGGACTGAATTATTTTACATATATATTCCAAATATATGTATGAGAACAACAAGATATATACAGTAATGTTATTTGTAATTAACATTATTTTACTTTGTTAGTTTTGATTTTGATTTAGTTCTGTTTCTACTAAGTTATAGTGAAAATCTGCAATGGCTACAATGTAATAGCCCTGTAATATATACACACACATATGTCATGTCTTAAAATTTGCGTCCTATGATCTTTTTACTGCTGAAGAGTTGACATTCATCTTTGTCTGTACATGTACTGAGTATTTTGTATTTCTATAATACAATTTTTTTAAATACAGATTTGGAAAAAGCAAATAATGACCTCAATGGTTAATATGACAACCAAGGGAGGGGTTAGTTGTCTTGTAGCCAGTTGAAACATAGAAAACGTGAAGACAATAAAATACATCAAACATAAAAAAAAAACAATTACAATTTTTTCAAAACGATGACTTGTCAAGTTATCCTTTTAGTGGAATGGGTGGGGTTGGATGGATTTCTGTTTATTTAAATTATTTTTTAAATATAGCACAAAAGACAAATACAACTCAAACAAAGGACAGTTCCTGTCTATAGGGTTAGGGTTAACCCTAACCCGCTGATAACAATATACATTTTAAGATGAAGCCATTTTGCCTGGTAGTCGTTTTTCTATAAACGCAAACAATAACAATCTAAATTTTTTTTTTAAAGCTGAAAAATAAACTTTCTGGTGGTCACATTGTGGACAATCAATGTAATGGAGATAGTCTTTCGAAATGACCTCAAACATATCTTTGGCATTTCAATACTAACAGCCCTGCCATTTATCGACCCAGGTCTAATATAAATACACTTTATTGCAGTAACATTTGCTAATCTGGGTTTAGAAGATGAGTACACGCAGCAACAATCATCACACTTAACTTTTGATTGTGATGATATCAATGCACCTTTACACTGAGCCCACATTTTCATTAGGAAACTATGAATGTACTATTACTCCTTAAATCGTTCCTCAAATACACAAAGAACAAACTCAAAAAGAGGCCCATAAAACAGCTGCCATTTTAACACAAACCTGCAAACTTGTGAGGATAATTTGCCTGTCTATCTACGGGTTGAATGTATAGTGGTCAGGTCCAACTGAGGCTTAAACGGTGGTCAGGCTTAAAAGGTGTGAATATGCTTTTGTCTGTGTCTACAGCTTGAGCTGCCAACTGTAAATGGCCAGTAGAAATCCCAAAGTGTTTTTACTGTTTGATGTTTGAAAGTGTGTCTGTTAACTACAATATACCAGCATGAATCAATGTAGAACTGCATTCTTTTGACATAATTAAAATGTCAAATTTATATCATGGGCTGCCAAGCTTAAAATTATTACTAAATACAAACACTGGAAGTAAAAGTGCATTACAATTAATGCTGAATTCATGTTTTTCATTGGTCATAACTCAAGAGCTTTGTGGACACAGATGGATGTACGAGGGATTTAATGTTCATTCCATGATCTGCGGTTACCTTTCAGGAAACATTGTCACCGTCCATATATTACAAAAGGGATCAGGAAATACAACAGCCTGATTTTAGCATAGCAATCTGGTCTGTGAACACAGGCAATACCCAATTAGGGACCCAGACAAAGCAGCCTGTGAACTGCGAACGTCTCCACCACTGTATGTGTCAAAGTACAAAGATCAATAAGTGCTGTTGTGGATGTGAAATGATACAAGGGCTGTCAAGTAATTTTCCCACAGAGACCAACAAGAAAATAACCAGAATAAAACCTCTGGTGTTTTTCTCTTTAGGTCCATGTTACAGGTCTCTTTCAGGAGGATGATAGTTTAATGCTAAACTCATAACATCTACTCCAGGATGACTTTAACCCAGTTACAGCTGCATCCCATAAATCATAATGTTGTGGTAACAAGTCTGACAATCACGCTGTATTGCAATGTTGTCGCCCCACACCCAAAGTAATTAAATATGATGCATGAAATTGAACCTTAATTGCCCAAGTATGCACAATATTTCACTATGACAAATTCTTTGATGAAATGAGCTTAGACTCTCACTAAAAGTACATGTAACCATTAAAGATTATTCTTGTCCAAATATGTGTGAACAAATTAGTCTGTCTGTGGTGTTACCTGACCTCTCGACTTGATCCTCCTCTAAATCAAATGAAGGTGAGCCATTCAATAACAAGCACTTAATCCTGGGTACTTTAGAACTGAGGTTTGTGTATTGAGATTAACTTTGTTGGAGCTGAAAGGGGCCAGGAAGCACAATTTCCTACACATCAATGTGGAGGAGCAGACCCCTAAAGACCTGAAGCTTTATAAAACATAACTTATCTTATTTCACATGGAAGTCTAAAGGGGGGGAAATCACAAAGAAAAACGTTAGAACCCTGTATAATGTCTAGATGCAGAATCACAATCAACAAGACAAAAATACATTTTTAATGACATATCCTTTAAGTTATTTTAAAAGTGTATTTATTGAGTGTCTTCCTGTTATACGGATATAATACATCCAGTAGATATACTCTGCATCCTATATTTCATTGTGTACACAACACAAATTATCATAAGGAACTGGTCACTTTGCAGAAGGGCTCTTTCAATCAGTTGTTGAAAAATAGGGGGATATGTTTATATAACGGAAAATAACTGTATTCAATTCTGTTATCATCAAGCAACACAATGCAGCCCTTAGGGGGCTCAGATTGGGAAATGGCAGTTTCCGATTTGCCTCGCTTTGATGGCTACTGGTCAGTTATTGCTTCATCCATTCCAAAGCGGGTAAATGTTTTCACTGCCGATGTGTATTGAGCATGCAGATTCCATTAAAAACCCCTTTAAAAGAGACCTGCGGCCGCTCCACCGTCCCAGGTGTGATGCCTTCACACCTCCGGCGTCGTGCAGACGTCTGAAGTCAGTGCGCGGCTGCTGCAGTGCCAGCCGGCCCCGATGGTTGCCCCATTCACACATACAGGCCGACGCACCTTTGATCGCGGGAGGATTTAAGTCCAGCGAGGCGCGCAGGTCTCAGACTAAAGTCAGTCGCTGGAAATAAGACGTCGAGGAGCATGTCTTCAGTTCATGGGAATATACGCGTCGGGGATCTGAATCATTTCCAGATGTATCACGAGGGACCTCTGCAGATAAACAGCATGGTGAACTCAGGTATGTGGCTGGTAGTGAAAGTATCATTCTGTGACAAACTGTATCGTAACACACACCAAAGGTCACAGCGAGTAACGGTTTACAGCCGGGTCAGTGCGTAATTTACGCACACGTCCATTGTGGTGTTTCTGTGACTCCCATTTATCTTAACGGTCCTTAACTAAATAGTGTGCACGTTTTCTTTTTCAGATTATGGAGCCTCAGGTGTTACAAACTACTTCAACCCAGCAAACTCTGTGCCGAGGGCGGATAAATGCGTGGCAATACTGACCCACAGGAGGAAGAGGACCAACTTCACCCAGCAGCAAATCGAGGTGTTGGAGAAAGTTTACTCGGAGACTAAATATCCCGACATCCACTTGCGAGAGAGACTGGAGGCTCTGACCGGGCTACCGGAGTCCAGAATTCAGGTAATGTCTAATGGAATGGTATCTTAATAAACACCAAGTTGTTCAACTGTCCTCACATTTTCCACACACAAATTGCAGGTGTGGTTTCAGAACAGAAGGGCTAAGTCTCGTCGCCAAGTTGGCTCATCGGTGTCGATGAAGGTCGCAAACCCGCCAGCAGCTGGTCCCTTTAGCCAGCTCCAGAGCAGGATGGGCCCAGAGAAAGGTAATTATTACAGTCACATTATTGTGATTTTTGTTTTGGCTTCCGATCCACTTATTTCCCCCCTCAGGCATCAAGTTCTCAGTTGTTGTCCTCTCAGACCCAATTTGCTGCTGAAATGTCTTCATGCTTGATTTAAAGTCCCCTACCTTGATAGAATATGTTGCTGGAAAACAATTCACATCAATGTGAAACACCACATTTCTTTTATTTCACAACTAATTGCCTCACCCACCTTTTCTCTTTCAGTTTATGACAACAACCATAGAGCCGAGGCACACAGGGTAGGAGGTTTTGGACTGGAGGAGAGTTTCAGACCCACAATGCACCAAAACACAGACGATGCTCACAGAACCAGTATGCCCACCGAACCCAGCAGCTACGCACACACGTCCGCCTCTTGCATCTACGACAAGGAGGGAACCAGAGTGACGCCTGAGCAGATGCAAAGACGCGAGCTGAGCGTTAACGTCCCGTGCTGTAACGTCCATCTGTACCCCAACGAGAACGAGCAGCCTCCCAAGATCGAAGCAAACATGTCCGCTAACCAGGGACCAACGGTTCTGGTGGAATATGACAATTTCCCACCGAACAAGACCATCGGACCAGAGATGAAAGTTGTGATTCCTCCCATCCCCACCCAGAATAACTTCAGCAGGTCATCCCCAAAGGATACCGGATGCCAAATCCAGTATTCATGTGTGAGGGCCACGGGGGACCAGTTCAGTCACTTCTCCCCGATCCGCACTACCGAGGCCCCGGACTTTACCGACTCAGACTCCGACTGGGAAAACGAGGCCATGGCTGGCTTCAGTGGCTTTATGTGATGCATTATAAGAGCCGATATAAAGACAGCTACATGGATCATAAGAGGCACTATACAGTTGTTTGCGTAAATGGAAAGTTTGTATTTATTGTTAAATTGTAATAAAAGTGTTGATTGTGAAAAAAGAATAAGAAGAAAGCTGTGTGTTTAGGTCTGTTAATAAAGACTAAAAACTAGAAGACAGATTACTGCTTTGCAATATTATGTTTAATATAAAAAGACGGAAACATTTATATACAATTGCCCCGAGGCACTCTCATATACAACTTTACAAAACTGAAAAAGGAGATTCTCAAGGAAAAAACGGTTGACTTAAATTTTCCAGGCTTAGTGTGGGGGTTGCAGTAGTAGCCATGCCAAATATGGAAATGCTAAGATCTTAAGGAAGTAAAAGGCTTCAAAACCCCAGAGTTCTCCTTTATAAAAATACCAAAATCTCTTTTCAGTGCACACAAAATTACAAAAACCCATTTCTGAATACACAGCAGAAATGTTGACGGTAGTTCTAATAATCAGAGATATTGTACAATTATCTACAATGAACAATTTTATAAAACATTCTTGCTCCCCGTGCTTACCATCAGCGGAGCAACAGAACACGTCACTTACAGGGTTAAACTTTAGAGATAGCAAAATATTGTTTCATAACCATACACACCTACTCAAAAATAAATAAATATGGACTATAAAAACGGTAAAAATCAATGTTTGGCACATGAAACCAATAAATAACCATCGACAGTTTGGAGATGTGGATTTGTAGCAACAGCTAAAGGTTCTTTCAGATTCGTGTTCAATTGGGTGCACCAACATTTTTCATACAGTAAAATGGGCGGCTAAAATACTTCGGACGTCCTCCGTCCCTTCAGCACAACGCTGCGGGAGTCCGGGCAGAACGCTGAGTCGGTTCACTGGGACGTCCAAATTCAGATCGCACGGCGGTGGTCCACAACATCCATGTGAGCAGTCTCGTATCCTCGTATCAGTTCAGGTGAAAGCACCGTCTCAAGAGACCGTGTTAACGGGCCGCACCGCTGCGTGTGGTGTGGAGGAGGCCGGTTCTCAGACTGCATTGGTGTTGTTGGCAGAGAATGCGTGCAGATTTCCCAGCTGACTAAGGCCACTCTGGATGTGTGCCACGTGGATCTCAACATTATTCTGGAAGCAACTAGGAACACAGAGAAGACAATAGTATCAGAAATGTTCAGAACCTACAGGACTTTCAAAGCTGTCAGACTGCTGTGCTGTTAACACTACACAACTCGCTGCCTGGTAATCGGGTCTAAAATGCGTTGTGGTTTTCACACTACTGGACTGACTAGCGACATGGAGGAGGGGGGGGTCACGTGCTAAAAGATCTTTTAGTGGAAGGAATCCCTGATGGGAATCCCTGATGAGTATGTTTAGGCATCAATCTACATTTTGTCACAAATTCACACGAGAAAAGTGACTCGGACGTCGTCCTGCTTGTTGACAAAACAGCCCATTTTCACACATCTTTAAAATGTCCCCTATGTATATCAGTTGCCTTGTTATGTGTTATGTTTACTACTCATGTTCAGAGCATTAGATCAACATTTACAAATCAAAGTTGACTAGTTTATGGATCAATAAATGTGGTCAATACACGTCTCACTTGTTTCCTCTTGGTTTCGTTTTTTGTCTGTTGTCACACTCGTAGCTCTGCTGGCTCAGCATAGAGGAACAACAGATATGCGTTTTAAAATGGAAATGTAGTCGTGTGGCACCTAATGTGGCCTCATTTAGCCTGAGGCAAGCATGTCGTGCTCAGAGCCCTGAAGCCGCACGGGCACAGAGCACTATTACTTGTTTATTCAAAATATATTAATGTTGAACGTGTGTCCAAATTGCAGCAGATTTTCCACGGCAATCCCTCGAGTCCCCATCAATACACCCGCCAAGTGTGAAATAGATCGGATAAACGCTTCTGAAGAAATACCCACATACAGACAGAGAGTCCTAGCTTTAGAGCTACATCCAACACCCTCCTCAGGAGCAACAGCAACAACTGTGGTCCGTGTTGCCTCTGATCGGAGGCTTTTGTCGGAGTGTGTCAGGGCTAAAGTGGTGTGAACTAGGCATGAGGAGGTTTAGCTAGAAACACTGAAGGGGCTTTTTACCTGAGGTTGGAGGGATCAATGGATGCCTTGATGTCATTAAGGGAGTCTGTTAGAGATTTAAATTCAAAGGAATTCAGGTCTCCCCCATCTGCCAGACACTGAAACAAATGAGGAAAAAATTGATTAATGAACAAGTTATCAAAGTATATCTGTAATTATTATTAATGTGGTAGATACAAAAGCTGTTGAAGAACGTTCACAACCGGCTTCTTAACATAGCGATGTTCTCCTGACATAAACATGTATCTACATCCTTTACCTTGATCTGCAGCAGTAGAGCGGTGAGGCGGGAGATGAGGTGCGTCAGGCTGGGGTTGGTCACGCTCTGCTGTCCCTCCTTCAGCGAGTTGCTCAGCTGCACCATCTGCTGGGCTTCGTCCTCACAGCGCCGCCGCAGCTCTGTGGGATGGTCGGCCGGAACCATGCCCTGATCTGGAGCCAGCTGCAACGGACACATTTATTTAGATTGGTCAAGGTGGACTATGAAGTGAGATGCTTGGAATGTCAGTGAAGAGAAGTGCATCTGTTGACTTACATCACAGCAGAACTGCTGAACTTCATGGAGCACCTTATTCAGATCCTTATTAAGCCGTTCAAGCTCGAGCACCGTGGTCGCATATCGCTTCTGAAAGTCCAGGTCAATAGGCATCGAGTACGACTTCTGAAAACAAAAGCACAAGTTTAGTTCGGCTTGATGTATGCCTCTCATGTTTTGAATCCACTTTTAATAAAACGATGATGATTGTACCAGCTTCTCTGCCTCTGTGTTCATTTCTTTCAAGTTCTTGATGTGGTCTTTCTTGATCATGAGGATCTTGGACAGCCTCGTCTAGGCATTAAAAAAATAAAACAAAGAATATGTTACAAAGCTGTAGGATGTCATATTTTAGTATTCCATTGTAATCACAGGAAGTATTTACCACTTGGATGAGGAATTTGACAGGAAATCCTCCCAGAGTATCTCCCTCAGCACCAGGCAGCTTGTTCCTCCACGGCGACTGGTTGACGAGAGGGTCATTGTCCTGTTATCAAAAACATCAAGATTAGTTGTTTTTTCCTATGATGACAATGTCTGAACTGTCCTTATACAGTACATGCCACCACTGACTAACATATCTAAACATACTTTTTGCATATATACATTCACAACCTGCTTGTACGAGATATGTGGACCACAACCAGATCGGGATTATTGGCTGCCTCCCAAAAGTATCTGTTGCAGTAGATCAGCCTTCTCACAGCCAGAGCAGATTCAAACCAGTACCAAATAGCATTGACATTGTGCTGACACAGCACATGTTTATCTGTCTTTAGATGTAGGGGTACGGTACCATGAGGATGGGAGTGGTGGCGGATGGGTAAGGCCCCCTGGGCGGAGTCACGACGTTCTGCATGTAGCGTGATATCCGATGCTTCTGGGCAAAGGCTGAGATGGGCATGGTCTCATTGGGCTCATTGCTCTGGAAAACACAAGCATCACCCGACGTCCAAGACTGTATAATCACATTCCTTTAGCACAGCTACTGCACATCTTTGTATTTTGACAGAATCTGGTTTTACAATCTATGTTAATACAAAATAAAATAAAGACTGACAAACTTAACAGGCCATCCTTACCAAGACTTCGTAGTCAGGCACAGTGTGTGTTCCCAGGCCACTGCGGTCGAAGGTGACGCGATAGGTGGCAGCGCTCGTGTCCACTGCATCGATCTGCCCGGTGAACAGCCCGTCATGGACGCCCCGGAGTCGAGCTGAGGAACAGAGAGGAAAAACAAACTGAATCACTATTGTTACTGGTAACACACCTCAAATGAGCATTGGTCATCCTCACTATAAATACTGAAAATTGCAGACTGGGTGCGTTTCGTTCCAACCGTCTTACCGGTGACTTTGGTTCCTATGATGAGTGGCAGAGGGATTTCATCTGGAAGGTCTTTGCAGTTCGACACGTCGGACAGTTTTCTCTGCTGCAGCAGACGCATCTTCTGCCTCTTCTGCCTCAGCGCTGTCCGCTCCTCAGCGAAGAACGCTGACGAACACCTGGAGGGGTCAACGAAGCATAATGCGTTAACATCTCTTTTGAGGCTTTGTTTTGAGGAAACGGCGTCATAAAAACAAATACAGGGAGAAAACTATTTCACATGTTTGACAAACACGAGGAGTGAAAACGGTGTGTAGAAGCTAGAAGCACACGTCTTAAAGATTGCAGCGTACCGTCTGGGTTTCCCCATCAGTCTCCTGATTGTTCCCCACTCGACCCTCGTCAGCTTTCTCGTTTTCAGGTTGGGGAAAGACTCCTTGAGACACAGGCAGAACTCATTGTCGCCCTCAAAGAGCGGTCTGGAAGAGATAGTAATAACACACAACATCGTTAACACATCATTCGACAAACATTGCGGATCAAAAAGCATCTCTGAATCAATTACAATTCATCAAAATGACTTGCTGTCTTCTGAAGGTGAACGTGAGAATGTACCTGTCGATATTGGAATAGAACCATTCGTAGATGCACCATTTGTGAGCTTTGGGAAGCTTAAGGAGGTTTCTTAATCTCAGCCCTATTTTCTGGGATGCCTTCTTATCTGGTGTCACCACATTAGAACATTTCTGTAAAGCAAAACATTTAAACAGTTATTCCACATAAAGGCATATCTATGTTTGGAAAAATAATAAATACAATAAATTGAACACTTTAAGAAGGGTTATCCTACACAAATTCATTCTTTCACTATGCTAGGCAGCTGTAACATTATTCACTCTAGGGCAACTTCTTCCTCCGGAAACAAAGCTATGAATTATTTTGTGTGGTCAAGCAGACGACTAGCAGGAAAGCACCTTTGCTTAAAAGTCTTGCTATGTTTACTTCACTGGTTTTATAGCTTATGTTTAAAGAAGGAGAGGCAGTGGTCTGGAGTCACGTTTGAATCCGTACCACAATCTGTTCATTTCATCAAACAACTTGGCAGTCACATCATTTTCTGATACACTCAGAATTATGTTTTTATGCAATTTGGAGCCGTTATTGCCGATTGGAAATCCACATAAAAAAAAAGGTGGCACATTTTCCCCTTAAGTCAAGGACTACATTTGCAATAAACTACTACTGCAGCACAGGTGGGCTCAGTGACACGTTAGAGAGTAGGAAGGGCTTCTACCCCCCACGAGTCCCTTTCACAGTGAGCAGGCTGTACCTGTGGGGTGGTGCTGACCCGTTGGCTCCTCCGAGGGGATCTAGAGGGGAGACGCTGTTGGGGCGACTCATCCTCCTCCCGAAACAAACGACTCCTTTTTGAGCTCCGCGTGGGCTGGAAGGATACATGTTGAAAGAAGTTTATGAATTGGTCCAATGATACTTCGAGAATAAAATCATTTTCATACAAGTCGCAAATATTTGTGTGCATTTCTCTTGTAGAACTTTACAGAATCAATTTAAAGCGCAGTTGTTAGCACAAAAAACCCACATTAGTTGGAGTTATGTAAAAAATGTAGTTGAATGAATGCAATCATGCAGATACACACAAGATTCAGGCAATATCAAGCATAATCAGGCAATATAGGGATGCACCAATCCAATTTTTTAAATCCTGGTAGCGATACGTGGGTTTTGGGTATCGATCCAATACCAGTGTGTATTAATAAGCTGTATGCCTCACTGTGTGGAAGGGACTGGAATCATCGTTTTATGTGCAAAGCAACAACAGGTTTAAATTAAACATTGCTTTTTTTAAAGAGTAAGCTTTTTAATGCAGCAACAAATTGGTCACTACCTAAACAGGAATTAAAATACAGTAATATATAGTATATATAGAATATACATCAAATTGAATTGATTAGATCGGCCCCATTGTCACCGATATCCAATATCAGCTATTTAAGTCAGTGTCGGCAATATCTTTGTTGGTGCACACTGCCATACTTTCTGGTTTGCAGTTTATTTCTAGGGGTCCCAAACTGTGCCACTGACAGTCAGACATACTGCCTAGATAGATTTGCACTTGACATACTGACCAGTTGCATGTGGATTGCACATTCCTTCCAAATCTGCATTTCTTAATGTGGCAATAAATTCAACCAGGGAGCTGGAAAGTATAATTTCTAAGAAAGCACTCTTACTGTGTCCATTATGAGGGAGGACTGTCGTCCCCTGGTGTTGTGAGCTCTTGGGAAGCTGTTCTTTTCATTCAGAGTGTTGGACAAACTGCCTTCTATAAAAAACAAATGCATTAATTCAAAATAGTGGGAGGACACCTGATACAGGACCCCACTAAGACCTTCACATTATTGAATTCCAGACTCAAAACTATTCTCATCTCACAGATGATGTAATTGAGGTAGATCATTTTCTTACAGGTGTTGACACATGTTTATCCTTCCCAGTATGGGGAGTAAACTCCACTGTGTCTCTGACGGCATCAGCCACAAATGTACGGTGGGTGGGGTGGGTTGTCTATTGTCGTTGTGGCGCATCATACAGAAGTCGAATACAATAAAGGACATACATAGGTAACCTATGCCATGTGTCTGCTAATGCACACGCAGACCAGATTCACAAAAATCTTCATAGGCTAAGTGTGTTTCGGCATACATGGAATTTGACACAGTAGTTACCAATATACTTACACAGTGTCAGGGACAGATGCACAGAAAGTTAAATAAAGATGCAGCCCACATACCTTTCAGACTGACAAGTGCCTCTGCTGAGGAGCCTGGGAAAGAGAAAAGGCTAGCGTTACATCGATTGAACGTTACAGTAACGCACTCACGGCGTATGACTATACTGTAAATATTTTACTACACACTTCAGGGTGATAAAAAACGTATCGAGGCCGTTCTCGTTAGTTTTAAGTTAGTGATACTCGATACATTTTTTTTAAAGCTACCACAGAAAACGTCTGCAGGGTGCTTATGAGACTGCCCTTTAAACACTGACAGCAGCCGGATAGCTTAACGCTACGTTAACTGAAGTTACATATAGCTAGCGCAGTCAGTTAGGCCTTAATCCCCAATATGAGCTGTCAAGAATGGGCATAACGTCAGCTGTACAAATCATACCCACGAAACGAGCTAACATAAGCTAACGTTACACTTGGTACGACCAGGAGATAAACATGTATTTAAATCAACTACGTTCACATTGATTGAAATTACTATTTCATCTGTTTAATAGCAAAAATAACTAGTTTCCCTTCACCGTCTTGTCAAAACGATACACAACGACGTTACCATGTAACGTTAACCAACCGCTAACGAACGTTAAATAAAAGACTAACAAACTAAACCAAGCTAACGTTACTGGCTAACGTGTGTAACGATACTTTTAGAAACGTTAACAGAGACGTTGTGGTAGTCCCTTTGTTATTGCTGCTTACGACGTAAGGCTAGCAGACGTTAGCTCATAGCTAAGCTAACGTTATTTGTTTACCCAGTTGAGCTAAAGTAACTTGCTCAACTCCAACATTAGCTATGGTTAGCCTCTCATGCTAACAAGCGTTAGCCGACTTGGGGAGACCGGTATCTCTTATAGCGTCTAGAAAATACTTTGTGAACTCTGCCCAAAACTTACGCTATTCATTACATGGACAACAATAGCAGTGTATCACCAAATGTTGTATTTTATCACTACGGGGCCTGCTGCGTGTTTACAATGCAAAACTCCTTGAATATATGTTATTACTCACTCTCGTCTAACAGCTGGTCCATCTCCGCCATCTTGAATTAGCCGCGCCGCTTTTTCAAAGACGTTGTCAAACTGCATTCTGGGTCGGGACGCTATCTGGAGGGCGATTTGAGAAATAAATAGCACATCATTTATCAAACCGACGACTGCAGAATCACTTTGTATGATATGTGCAAACACACACTTACAGTCACTCAATATAAATCCAACTTTCCGTACGAAATGTAACGGGAAGTTCTTGGAAAACAGTTTCTTAAGCAAAAGTGAAAGTCAGAGTAGACACTCAGCATCCACACATTGTCATACAGCACTTGAATTACAGTCACATGTTTATTTTTTCTTCAATTTAATTCATTGTTGGGAATAATTTATGCTTTATTCCCAACTTCCCATGGTGCAAGTTGTTGTTTTCAACCGGAGTTAAACATAGAAAACCATAGCCAGTATAAAAAGCCTTTTAGTCTCTTTCAAATGGGAAATCAAGTTAATAAATACTATTTCTGTTTAGTGGTATTAGGGTTTTTAATATTTAAATGTCCTACAAGATCTAGCATCACACTGTCTCTGACCTGCCCAAGGCTTAATAGGGAAAAAGAGAAAGCCCTACAGGAAATAAATCCAGCATCTCATAACTTTGAAAACTTGACATGCAAATTTACATTTATTTTCACTGTAATCAAATCCAAAATTCAAATTGTATCCAACATGCAGTGGAACAAAATAATGATAGACAAAGGCAGGCATGACCTTTTGAAAACATTTTATTGTATTTGAGGTAAGCGAGAAAAACACTAAGAAAAAGTGTAGCACATAACATCGCAGTCCTTTCTTTTGCAGAACACTTTGCAAAAAACACAAACCACATTTTTCATTTTCGGCAAGGAAGACAGTTTGAGAGACAAGCAACAAAACAAATATATACACGTCAAACCTTGTACAGTATCTTTGAACCCAACAGTCGACAAAACGTTTGTGTATGTCTGCAGACAATCCCTTCTAAACTTGCATTACTAAACCTTAATTAACTAAAAGTGTAATTAAGAATGAAGTAGTAAGATCCTTTTCAAATTCAAGATAACCACGTGAAAACTACAAACATTTTCTGATGTTCATGTCTAAACCAAAACCTTTCTATGTAGTGTGCACCGCTTACTTCAATCACAATATTGAACTGTGAGTTGTCTCTTTTATGAGCAACTGAAGTAGGTATTTAAGTACCGAATGTGTTAGTAAGGAAGACTGCCAGCTATTAAACCTGATGAAAAAGCAATAAAGTGTCTTGAGACTTCCGTTGCCCGTTGTAAAGCATGGTAGAACATCATTCCATCACCAAATATTTTCTGTTGCAGCGAATGAAGCCCGGGCGTTTGGAGGCAACAGTGGTTTTAGTTTTCACCGAAGGAGGGTCTGGACAAAGCATCTCTCACCACAGGGACGTCTGGTAGTTAAACTTGATCTTCAGGAGATACTTCATGTTTACCTGGGCCACATCATACACAATGTACCTGGAGGAGCAGCAGCTTAGGAAAACAAAGACTACAGATGACTGACTCGGTGAAATAAGAGGACATTTCACACAAATTACAGACATGAGGGGAACAGAAATAGATGATCCAATTTATGCCAGAATACCTAATTGTAATTGGTATAAAACACCATTGGTTCCACAGAGTGTTCTACATCATCATCGGGAGGTTACAAAACAACCCGTCTCACATTAAAGATAAGACATGCTGACTACAGCTTTTAAACCAGCCATCCAAGATCAATCCTATTTTGAAATTAGATCGGAAACATGAGTCCAAATTCAGGCTAAATTTCGTGTTATGTGAACTTGGCAATAGCGTAAAATCGAAAGCACAGCAGTGGCCGCTAAACCTGTACACATTATATAAAAATTATAAATTTAACTTGAGTCAGTTTATCTAATGTCGAGAACAATTTGTACTGCCTCAGTCTTTGACTCCGCACACAACAAACTACTAAATACATAATTATATGGCAAAGCAGGAAAGATACGGGTAATTTGGAAAAATTATTGTAAAAGTCATAACCCAGGTGGTCAGTGTTAAAGGATACTCATTGTACAGGAGACTTGTGTCATCAATGTTCGTGTTGGCTCCTTTTCCCAGAGGTACCTGCACGCCATCCAAAGTGACAGATGCAGTTGGATCAGGAGCAGATCTGCCCAAACCTTCAAGAGCAAAAAAAGTTAATGAATAAAAGTATTTTCAAACTTTGATGTATTATAAACAAGAGGCTCCTACCATGATAATGACAATGTTCAACAAAACAAGTTGTGCAAGTCAGCTAAATAACACTTTATTAAAAAGGCACAGCGTGTAGGAATTAGGGGAAATATAATATAATATAAATAACTATATTATCATAAGTGGATAATCACCTGAAACTAAGGATTATTGTGTTTCTGTTAGCTTAGAATAAGCTCTGCATATCTGCTCATATCTAGAGGAGCAGGTCCTCTTCACGGAGTCCGCCGTGTTGCACCGCCATGTTTCTACAGTAGCCCAGAGCAGACAAACCAAAACCTGGCTCTAGAGAGGGCCAATAACACTTTTACTTCACCTGAAGGCCACCGTAGCTCTCTAACACGCTTTTGAAACCGTGGTACCGTCAGCTGCTGTATGTCTTCCGTTATTCCTAGATTAGTGTTATTATGGTTAAGGATGTCCACTGAGTGAAATGAACGGCATTAGCACGGTTTTGCACTCGGTGGCTTACGTTACCGCAGTCTTGAAGAGGGAGGATTGAGTGGAGGAATCTGCAACCTCACTGCTAGATGCCACCAAATGCTACACACTGTGCCTTTAAGCCCACGGACAATCAAAACAAAATGTGCAGTGACTAAAGTTTTCTGACCTTTGACACTGTGCTTGCCCTTAGGTAGTTTTGAAATGTGGGACGCCTTCTTCAATTCATGCCTGCATTAAAAAAAAAAAAACCCACATTCATTTATATTATCATCACACATAAAGCACATGAAAAGGTTGATATTCAGGCTTTCTTTTTTAAAGAACTCAGACGGTCACTTACATGTTGCCGAGGGCCACCTCGGCCAGCAGTAGGAGGCCTACAGGGTCCGACTGGGAGGTGTGACAGTAGTTCGCACTCTTGGACACCATGTCGGCGAAGTACACACCTTTACCGAACATGTAACCAGTCTGGAGAAAATGAAGCAAAGCGGCAATGTAACACAGGACTGAAAAGGGGAAAAATATACTTAAAAACATGACGGAATATTTGAAAGTTTATTTCGGAAAGTGAATGCGTTACATTGTGGCCGAAGCACAAATGGAGGAAGCAGTTTTTGGTTCCCCTCAAACTTGAACTCAGCCTAACCACAAAGACAAACTCACCACTGGGGCCTCTGGAGGGGCAATGCGAAGACCCTGAGACATGATGCCGGCGTAGTTGGTGGCACGAGAACCGTGCCACAGCAGCTGGCGATTGTGTAGCTCCTCGAAGGGGCGGTACCGCTGGCGCTCTCCCTCTCGAACTATTTTGAAGATCTACAGGATGGGAAAAAATAAAAAAAATCAGGAAACGCAGCGAGATGGTAATTTATGCTGGACAACAACAGTACATACAGTAGATATAAACAGTAATGCACATATTGTAGAAGAATTTACATTAAGTTTGTGACTGAATCAGTAATTAGAAACAAAGATTTCTACAAACTAAGAATTCACAACACAATATTCAAATGAAGCGGTTGTCAAACCGTTGACTTACCTCTTGCACTTCAAGTGTGTAAGTGTTGTGTGTAGCGGCGTGGGTGTTCTTAACATATTGCCTAATGATCTCAGCCTCATCTGTAGTTTTGTCAACAACCTGTGAAACAACAAATATATAGCACGCTGTAATATTACCATACATAACCTCTTCATACAATGACCACGCTGAACGTTGTTCTTAGAGAGAAAATACAACCGTCCATAATCACGAAAGAGTAAAAACGTGGAACTACACCCCTCACCTCAATCTTGGTTTTGAGCTTCTCGTAGTTGATGTCGATGGGGTCGCTCTCATTGTCCTGGGCCCCTCCTCTCAGCAGGCTGTATGCCACTTCAATGTCCAACAGGTTGTCCAGCATCTGAACTTTGGCCTGAACAGTGATGTATGTGGATGTTGTGAGATGCATTTATACTCCACACATTTATAAAGCGAGACAGAACTGTACGGTGGGATTCGGTATTTGTGTCCTTACTTGAATGTAGTCCAGGCTGCTGAGCAGTGGAGGTTTCTTCATGCCGAAGTCGTGAGGGATCAAGGTGTAGAAGCGATTGGAGAGATCCAGGATCTGGGCCTCGGACTGACTAACTGACACAGCCTAATGAGAAAACAAAGAGAACCAATTAGTAATAACAAGATTGCATGGGTCAGGGGAGAAACTGTGCTTCACAAGTGTCGAGCTGAATAAAAGGGAAACAGGAAAAGGAACTGAATGCTTTAAGAGTGGATTGCAATGCGCCACACAAGGAATCCCAACAGAGAGGTAAAGAGTGAAAACAGTGCTGACCTGGTGTACTTCAGTGAGGAGAGAATAGGCGCTCTGGATCTGCCTCTTACTCAGCTTTCCGAGGGGCATCTTCTGGAGGTCAATCTGAAGACGGGACAGGAGCGATAAGACGTTAAGAAGATGAATGCACACACTGGTGAGGCTCAAATGAGGCTCTATTGAGATGGACATGTAGATTTTTCTTTTACAGTGCAATACATAAATAAATAAAAGGAAAGCTACATTGTTCTTTTGTGGTTCTTATCTCACACGTACATGGCCACAAACAAAACAAAATACGAGTCTTACCTCGAACTCCACCATGGCCTTCTTCATGCTCT